TAAATGTGCTGATGTAAACACAAGCAGTGTGTGGGATAAGGCTCTGAACTTGTACCCTGCTCCCTGCAGATGGCAAAGGCAGGTTTCATCCACTGTCCAAGTGAAAATGCACCAGATGTAGCAAAATGCTTCTTTTGCTTGATAGAACTGGAGGGCTGGGAACCAAACGATGACCCATGGTAAGCACATCTGTGGCACTGTTCTTGAAGTATTCTTTGACAGCATCCCCTCACTCATTGTAAAATTACCCATTTCTTCCACAGAAGTTCACTAAACTGAAACCTCCTGGTAGTTTATCTTACCCAGTAACCTCAGAATGGTCCAACTAGTTTTTATCTGAGATCTAAAATCTATTTCATATGCTTTCTATGTGACTTTTTCTGCTAATAGACAGTAGAAGTACTGAAGAGACCTGTCTGCTCAGATTTCTTCTCATCTTGAAATGTAGCTTTCATGTGTTTAATATCTGTTCTTATTCTGGGTTTGTCTTGCAGGGAGGAACACACCAAACGTCACATCTGTGACTTTTTATCCCTTCCTAAGCACTTTGATGACCTGACAATGGAGGAGTACTACATGCTGGAGATGACACGGCTCAGAACCTTCATTGTAAGTGTTAAGCAAATAATGTTAATATGAGATTCAAAGCTAGAATGTAAACAAGAACTTCTGTCTATTAGATTTCCAAGCATCAGCCAGGAGTGAATAGCGTAATGCTAGAACACAACTTACCCTGAAGTAATGATTTATGTGCATTATTGGCACAGAAATCTGTACCCAAGCACTTCTCAGTTGAACCTATGAATTCAAACCTTTTGAATGCAAACCTGTTTCCTTTAGAAATGTTTTTCCAGTGACTCAATGCAGCAGCAAAGATACATTAAGTGCAGCAAGAAGCCAGGAAGCTCAACAATGAGCTGCTCTGTTTTCAGGAGGGATGAACAACACATGTGAAAAGACAAAATTTGACCAGATCATTGGTTCACATGTCCAGTTTTACATATAAATCAGCTTAATTAATCTTTTAAACTTTATAGCTCCCTTCAAATGGTTTACAGTTATGCTGTTTTACTCTTCCCCAATTCTGGGGTTTCATGCCATAGTGCTGGCATGTAAAAAAGCACACAAAACTGAGCTGCTTAGTTGACCAAGATCAGCTAATCTTTGATATGTGAGCCCTATTCCTATGGATAGTAAGAATCAAGTGAATCAAGTCCCCAATGAGGCACAGCAAACATTCTGCATCTTCTCAGTGGGTTTCCACAAATAAGATCTTTGCCTTGCTAATAATGTTCTGTATTAAATATATACTTGGTGACTGTCAAGGTTAAGTATCTAAGGTCCCTGTACAACAGATTAAAATACATAAAAGTAGGATCACATGGCACAGTGTGAGCAGCCTGATACCTTAAAAGGTGGACTAAGGGTGAGAAGCTGATGTTATTTAACCCCAACTCTGAATGATTTTGAACGGGGTTTAAAGGTACAAAGTGTCCTGGCCATAATATTACTTTATTTCGAAGTAGAGCACATAGAAATCTTGAAGCAGCAGCTTCAAGTGGGGACACTTTGCCCCCAAGAACAGTGTCACCAAAGCTCAGAGCTCTGTGCACTAGGGCTGATCAGGGGCATGTTTGCCATCCTGAAGCACTGATGTCCTAATGCATCCTGAGGAGCAAGACTCTCTCTTCACACAGAAGAAAAGTCTCCCTCCCTGGTAGGATGTAAAATACAGCTAAACAGTAGATTCACATTTTTCTTTAAAAGTATACTATGCATAGCCAAAAGTGGTGACTGAACTGAGCCCTCCTGGTGGAGGAGTTTTTAAATTAAATGAGGGGATGTATATGAACTGTCTGCCAAAGTGCTCTGCTCCATCCAGACAGCAGTGCTGCTGGCCAGAGACAGAAGCAGACTTCTCAGCTAGAATCTGTGGAGGATCCATAGGGTTTGGATTTTAATCTAGTTGAACTAGACAGTTAAACTTCTCAGTTGTAAATCTCAATCTTTTGCTTTGCTTTAAGCGCAAAATTGGCAGAAGCGTAATCACCTCTTTTGAACAAGAAGTTGCTGCAACTCGGCAGAGTCTGGTGGATTACTTTGTCTCCAAGCACCAGTACACATCACCACCACCACTGCCCCTCAGTGATGATCCATCCACCCAGCTTTCAGAAGGCTCAAATTGCCAGTCAAAAGAAGTCCAGGAGAAATAAAGTCTGATTCCAAAAGTTCCTTTTCTTTATACAAACCTTCATCTTTTTCTTAGTCTGAACATAAAGCTAAACAGTTGTGTGAGGGAGTGTGTGTAGATAATTCCTTTCACAGGTTCTCTGGGACAGAGCTCATAACAGTTTATGCTAAGTCCTATCTTTCACAATGTGCTTTGCTGTTATAGTTAGCTGTAAACTAACAGTAGTCCCAAAAACCTGTGAGTAGATGAAAAATGTCTAAGCAAAAACTTAGATTCTGGTTTTTAGTAGGTTGACTTTTTTTGGAATAAAGATTGACAACAATTATCAGAGCCTTTTGTGATCTGTGTTAAAGCCTTATACCTAGACAGACTCAAGGGAGAACAGTTCTGCTTCAAAATGCAACAAAATGGATCTGTATGTCTACAATAATTGCTACCTTTAAGCACCTGCATTATCTGCACTCCTTCTCAGCATTAAATTATCTTACTGGACCAGACAAAATGGTCAAAGACACTGACATCCAGCCAAAGTAGCAGGTGTACTGAGTAAGGGGAGGCACAAGCTTTGTAAGACAGTCCTCAAGGAAGAAGACCTGTGGGGATTGTGTGTGTGTGTGTGGCCTAATATTCTGTTTCTAAAAGTTTTTTCATTGTCATTTCAAACTCACAGGGGATTTTTGGAAATCTTAGCAATTCCTATTCTCCTTTATGTAGGCAGCACAGCTGAAACACAAGCTTCCAGAGCCTTTTGGTTTTTAAGCTGGCCAGACCTTTTTCAATAAGGTGAAACTTTCATCCATACTTTGTCAGGTCACAGGCAATGAACAATTAGCATCTTCTGGAACTTCCCCAGCTTGTCTTCCCATGTTGGAGGAAAAGCCTTATGCTGGGGATCCTAAACTCATGTATTTCAACATTCTTTAAAGCATTTGTGAATTACCTGCAGTGATAGTAAATTATCTTTGAAACTTGACACATCAATCCATGAAGTGCTTTTTCTTAAGCTACAGAAATGATGTTGACATGCTTTAAGTATTTCTTAAAAAAAACCTTTAAATATATGTTTATCTAAGAAGCACAGAAGTAGAATAGGAAAAAAGTGCCAATTATATGATCACTTTAAAGTTATTTTACAAATACTAAAAGCATTCACAGATTATTTTCCTGTGCAGAAGTTTTCTTAAGTCATTTCAATAAATAGAAAGAAAACACCCTCTCATTATAATGGAAATGTTTAAAGAGCCAAAACAATTATCAGGACCCACACAGTAAAGTCTACTCGGTTACATTTTCAGCCAAATAAATGAAAACCACCAGGACAAAAAATAATAATAATTCAAAATAGCTCTGTATGTGATATGGAAACTATAAATAATATTTAAATTAAGGAAATGCTCTACATGTCATAAGAGAAACAAAAGTACCTTAAAAGAGGTCATTGTCTCATAAAAGTAGGTAAGTTCTTTTGTGCAAAAAAATTCCTTGTAAATCCATAACTGGTATCTCTGTTGACAGTTTCTAACTAAACCATCTTTCCAGGCATGTTCATAATCTAACAGAATAGATAAATTAACAGGAATTTAATCCATCTCTCTTAGAATTCTTTATTATTTAGCACAGATACATTTCAGCCATGGGATAGGAGGAAAATGATGCCAACCCTTGCTGTGGTTATAATCCGCTTTTTTCTGGTAACCATAGCAGCCAATTTTCAGCTCAGTAACAAACTGTCTGTGTCTCTCCCCTCTACTTCCAAACCATGTCAGAATGCAGAAGAAACACACAAAGAGACTTTAACTACAGGCAGGAGTTAAGGTTCCATTTGAAATTCCAATTCTATTTGTCTAAAAGAAGCTCAAGACGATGTGCAGCAAATCCTAAAAACAAATAAATAAATCATCTTCCATGCCCATTTCTGCAGCCATAAACAGCTACTCCACAGTCAGGAACCGAGTTTACCAACACCTTGCATTAGGACTCTCAAAACTTTAATAGACTGACCTGCAAGTTAATAGATGAATCAAACTCTTGTAAAATCACGGAAAATATTATCTCCTCACAAGCATGCAGATATGAGTGAGGATGTAGACTCTTGGTAAAATCACGGAAAATATATCTCCTCATAAGCATGCAGATATGAGTGAGGATGTAGGAGAGAGATAACAGTTGGTAAATTGATAACACCTGCATTTTCTATCACTTTTAAGTATTTATTTCCCATGCTTTGCCCACTTTAATGCAATGGTTCAAGATCATTACACCAAAATAAAGAGTTTGTTACCTAAAAGTACAATTTGTTCCACGTATTGGCAGTTAAAAGGGAAAACAGCCTTTGACAAAGAAACAAATAACTTTTCTGGATATCACTAAACAACAGTTCATCTTTTGCATCATATACCTGATTTTCCAAGTCACATTCTCTTGTTTCTGGGATTCTATATAAAGCCAATTTATCTCAACACTCCCTCAGGTCTGCTTGTTTCTTTCTTAGACCATCCACAGCAATCTTTAATTTTCCTTCAGTTTGATTCAACTTTAGCTCTTCAGGTGCAATATTTCTCTCACTCTAAATAAAGCCAAAGAATAAATTAAACATCTGAAAGATACAACCTTCACTCCAGGGTTATTTTTTTTGAGAGAACGTAAGAAAGATGAAGGGAAACCTCAGTAACTCATGCAATATTCTGTTTCATAACTTGTTATCTGAAGACAATTGGGTTTTACTTAATAACTTGTTTCTGTGCTGATATTGATTGATTTATGCAGCTACTAGAACTTTTTAATGTAATAGCAGGTAAGGATTAAAAGCAAAGAAGGGCTGTGCTTCTGAACTGTGTCCCATTTGATCACAGTTTAGAATCCATTATGGATTTGTGCCATTAGAAACACACAAATAAAAACATAAATAACACAGACACTGTACACACACATTCAGCCAACTACGTACACAAAAGAACAGAGAAAACTAAGAGCTTATCACATCCAAGGATCTATTTTCCAGTTTTGAGGATTTCACTCTTTTAGACAGATTACTTTTGTGAGAAGTGAAAACATATTGTTCATCTTTCCATAAACAAGCATGAAAATAAGCTAGAATGTCCCTGTGCCCAACTGAAACAGAATTCCACAAGTGTTAGCCTCCTAATTAATGAATCTCCTTTTGCACTGGGGTAAGCTGCAGATCTCCTTCAAAGTCCACCTCTTAAAATAATTTTCTCTCTAACAGTTGGTACTTGCAATGCTAATAGCTGTTCTCAAATTGAGAAGTCTACCAAGTAGGCATTTTCTGACCTTTCAGCTGAGTACCAAAATACCCTCTCAAATGAAGGCATGAACTGCCCTACCATGACTCAACTTCCAGATGGCACATGAACCTCAGTTGCCCAGTGCTGATTCACTGCTAAATGTGAGCTCCAGATGTTTCAAACTAGGACAAAGCATAAGAAATAAGCTCATTTTTTCAGTGCATAAAATAATATCCTTTGGGCTTGATATGACCAACAGAAACTTCCAAAAGCATTTCAGTATTGTGCCACTCTAAAACTTTGTTAACTTCATTTGCTAACTCAACTGATTGTTGCTTCCATGCTTAGAAAAATCCAGGGCTGAAAATAAGGCTCTACACCTTAACATCAGGTATCTTACATGAACTAAGCTTTACAACTGCTTCTTTGTACAAGTACCCCACTAGTAAGAAGTAATTTCCAATTTCTTTTGGTGTTAAATTGATCTCTTTAATCAAATTTATTTTAATTTTTTAATACATACTTACATATCATAACATTCTATAGCTATGACCAATTTTAAAACAAAAATACAACATAATTCAATATTATTTCTAGATACTAACAGGCCCAATTGTGTTACAAACAACTACTGATTGCTCTGAGACACCAATTTCAATGCAATGCAAATTAAAAGCAATTACAAATTGATAGATACTAAAGTATCAAACAAAAAAGTCCAGTTTTTGCACCATTAACTAAAATAAAGATCCTACTAGCCATGAGTAAAACCATCTTTTTTAGCCATTTAGAAAGTTAATGGATTTTGTAAGAGTTAAACAGAAGCAACTGTGACCAATAGGTGTAGTTATGGTCAGTCTGATTACTCTGGTACAGCAATGTATGACCCCTACATATAATTATTATTTTTCTTTAATTTCACATGGAATGTCTTTTGTATTACAAGAAATTTCATCCTGATACATGTAAAATGTTGTGTCCTACCACTATCCAGTATAAGCATTATTATTTTTTCTAATGGATATAATGCAAAAATAAAATAATACTGACAATAAATCAGATTAAAGGCTCTAACTGAAAACTGTCATCCCAATGCATTCTTTGTCCTGCAGATTCACAAAGTACAGTCTGAGTGAACAAATTCTGTCTGTAACACTCCCTGCAAATTCAGCAGTGATGAAAAATGTCATTTTAATTGAAAACTGTTTATGTCTGGCTCCTGGCCATTCTAGTTAGCAATCCATAAAATGATTGTTACAGGTATTCTCTTATCAGCAGAAACTCTCACAGTAGTGTAACCATTCCCTGTGTGAGCAAGCAAGCAGGA